TCCAGCTAAAATGAACGAGTACTTCACATTTAGGAAATACAGTAAAAACCCTGAAAGTTACAGCTGGAAGAAGTACAGGAAGAGCTACAGACCACATGTGTGCAAACCCCAGTACTGCAGTGTAATATTCTGCTTGATTTGTTTTGTGCCAACCTTCTCTCTTCCAGTTGTAACAGGAACATAAGCAAACTTGAGGAGGAGGAGAAAAAAATCTTAATCTTTTTGTTTTCCCCTTTAGATGAATTTAATGTGTAATTTCCACAACCCTTTATTTTCCAAGTTTAGCTTTAGTATCCAACTTTTATATCAGAAATATATGTATCCAGAGACATTAATAAGTTGCTCAGGAGTCCATCATTAGCACAGAGTGACGTGGGATTTAACCTAATAGCCACTATCTATACTGATCTGCCACACCCTGGAGTGGGGGTGGGAGGGAGTGACTTTGCCAACCTGCCAGACTCCAGGCACTGATCACAGCTCTTCCTAGTTCCAGTGCAATGATTCAAAGGCAGGGTGGACTCCATACCCTTTCACTGGATACTTCTTACCCCAGAAATTTTATGAGGCCCACTGGCAACAATACCCGAAGAGTTCTGGGCTTAACCCTTTGGATAATGAATGAAGCAGTGTTCTAGATAAGACTTACTCTAATGTGGATGGCTGGGACTGACGTGGTTCTGAACCTAGGCAGGCCCTGAACTGCTATTTTCTGGATAAATTTCTGTCTGGATTACTTCTCACCTGTTAAAAGCCCTGCTGAAATCCAAATATAAAATATTTGTTGTGCTTTGTGTCTATTTTTTTCTTATTAAAAAAAAATGGTTGGGGGATCAGCAGTTTGTGTAATGGCTATGTCGCTGGACTCCCATGTAGTTGACCGCGTTTCAAGTCCCAGACCTGGTGGCTTAAAACTCACACCGGGCGTGTGTGTGTGCGTGCCCAAGATCCCGAGAGGAGAAAGGAGAAGGGATTGTGGTGTGGCCATCCCCCCTGAGGGTTGATTTCTCGCTTTCTATCTCTATTTCTCTCTGTCTTTCTGGTGAGCGCACATGCCCTATAGCAAAAACCTCTCCAAAAAGAAAAAAAAATGAATGGGGCCAGCAGGTGGTGTAATAGGTAAGATGCTAGACTCTCACATGGCCGACTGCAGTTTGAGTCTTCAACCAGGCAGCTTGAAAATCACACTAGGCACATGTGTGTGCTTGCTCAAAATCCTGAGAGAATGGAGAAGGGATTGCGGTGTGGCCATCCCCCTGGTGGGTGATTTCTCACTTTCTTTCTCTCTGTCTCTCCAGTGAACACAAATGCCATATAACAAAAATCTGTCTTAAATAATAAAAAAAAGGGACACTTTATTAAATCAATACTGTCCACTTTTACTTTTCTAAAGAAATGGAGCCAGGGACAGGTGGTAGCATAGCAGTAATACAACTGGACTCACATGGGAAAGGTACAGGGTTCATATCCTGGGATGTCCCTGAGCGCACTAGGTGATCTAGGCCGGCTGAGACTAGGGGTAGATCATAATGTGAAAAGCCTATTTGGGGTGTTTCCCCACTCTCCCTATATCTTCCACCTCAACCCAGAAGTAAATGAATAAATCAAAACAAAACAAAACAAAACAAAAAAACTACGGGCTACCATACTGAAATAGCCACCAGAATTTAGAATTCAGTAAACAGCATCCTGAGTTCTTTGTGAGGGACATGAATCACCATGAGCTTAGACTTGGAACAAACGAGTCCATTTCAAGGTTAGATCCACACTTACAGATAGGATGGCAGCCCTTACCGACCTTTCAATAAAGCGTTTACTGAAGAAGGAAATGATGCGGTATCACAATTTCAAGCACAACTGTGCCATCTGGTGGCTTATCAAAACATGTCAAGCACCCTTGCAGGCACTACACATATAGTTAGTAACACCTTTACTGAAATTCCTGCAGGAAAAAACGGGCTGTTTTTGCACAATGCTGTCATAAAGGAAAAGAGTAAAGCTATCTAATTATGGACCATGGGCAGCAGTGTGGGTGAAGAGGCTGCGGGCTCTGCACACACTAGCCTGAACGCCACCTGGGGATGGAATTCCTCTGTATGCCCTCCCTCCCAAACCCTGGGCTCATTATTCCTTTCCTTTCCTATGTATATTACTTTATTTCATCTATGCGTAGTCCTATAAAAATCTTTTGTTCGGTTGACTTCACTGTGGCTAATGCAATTGAAGGGTGTGTGTGTGTGTGTGTGTGTGTGTGTGTGTGTGTGTTTTGCCAGAGGACACATGCACTTGGGGAAGAGATCACACCTAATGGGACAGGTCACACCACAATCACTTCTCCATCTCTCCATCCTATCAGGATTTTTATGCACACATGCCCAGCATGTTTTCCAAGCTGCTGGGGCAGGATTTTAACCACACAGTCAGCCACACGTGATCTGTGATCTGGCTCTCTTCATTATCAGCCGAAGACTGATTCTGAAGAACTGAACATTGTTTGTTTATTTTTTGCTACAGGCATGTGAACTCGCCAGAGAGGGAGAGAGTGAAAAACCACCCCCAGAGGGAATGGTCATACTACAATCCATTCTCTTGGGATCCTGGGCACTTATGTATACACACCTGGTGTGATTTTCAAGCTGTCGGGTCTGGAACTTGAACCACAGTGGGCCATGTGTGAGCCAGTCACCTTAATGTCCACATCACCTCCTGGCCCCCATTTTAATCTTTAATGTACATTAATTTTTATTTATTTTTATTTTTTGCTATAGGCCATGTGAATTTGCCAGAGAGGCAAAAGAAAAAAGAAAAAGAGAGAAATCACCCCCTCAGGGGGATGACCATGCCGGAATCTCTTCTCCAGTCTCCTCTCGGGATTTTGGGCACGCATGCACACACATGTGCCCAGTGTGATTTTCAAGCCACTAGGTCCAGGACTAAAACCACACATGTGGCCACGTGAAATTCTGCACTTTAACCTCCTCGCCACCTGGTGGCCCAATACATAGTGCCATGTGGGTAACATTAACATCGTGAATGGCACAACTCTGGATTATATGGCTAGGACCTGTCCACACGGCTGGCATGTGGGTACAGATCGAGGGCTGCAAACTTTTTCTATAAAGGGCCAGCAAGTAAAATATATTAGAATTGGGGTAGCATAATGTCTCTGTTACCTAGCCTTCCTTGCTCTTCTCTTTTTTCTTCCCCACCGCTAAAGGGAACAAATGCTCACCAGAGATTAATACAAAAAGGACAAGTTCAGGGCCAGCAGGTGACATGGTGGTTAAGGGTGCTAGACTCCCACATGGCCAACAGCAGTTTGAGTCCTGGACCTGGCAGCTTACTTTCTCACTTACCCTATCTCTCTTACTCACTCTGTTCCTCTTGGTAAAATTAAAATAAATAAAGTTAAATAATTTTTTTTTTTTTTAAAAAAAGCAAGGACCAGCAGTTGGCATAATGGCTATGTCGCTAGAATCCCATGTAGTCGACTGCGGTTCCAGTCCTGGACCCAGTGGCTTAAATTCATGCTGGGCACATGTGTGTGTGTGCCCAAGATCCTGAGAGGAGAATGGAGAAGAAGGGATTGCAGTGTGGCCATCCCCCCTGGGGGATGAGTTCGTTTTCTGTCTCTCTCTCTATTTCAAGTGAGCACACGTGCCCTATAGCAAAAACCTCTCAAAAAAAAGAAAAAAAAAAAGTTCGTATTTATTCTCTCTTATCCTCTATTTAAAAAAAAAAAAAAAAAGATGGGTCAGTCAATAACATGGTGGTTAAGGCAGCTGGATCTCACATACTCGACAGCATGGTTCAAGACCCAGTCCTGGCCTGGGGTGAAAGGTTAGTGGGTGCAGTCATCTTTTCTTTTGGTAGGCCCTGGTGATTACTGTTGAAATGGGCAAGCTCATGAAGTCCGGAAAAGTGGTGCTGATGCTGGCCGGATGCTACTCTGGACACAAAGCCATCATTGTGGAGAACAGTGATGATGGCACCTCAGACTGCCCCTACAGCCACACTTGTGGCTGGAATTCACTGCTAGCCCTGCAATGTGACAGCTGCCATGCGTAAGAAGAAAATCATGACGACGTCAAAGATCAAGTCTTTTATGAAGGTTTATAACTACAATCACTTTGTGCCCACAAGGTACTCCTGGATATTCTGTGATCAACAACGATGTCTTCTGAGACCCTGCTCTTAAATGCAAGGCTCAGCAGGAGGCAAACTCCAAGCCTGAAGAGAGGTACAAGACAGGCAAGAACAAGTGGTTCTTCTAGAAGTTACGGTTTTAGATGTTGTATGTTTCAGTCATTAAAAAGGCGAGAAAAACAACAACAACAACAACACTTAGTACCAGACCCAGTGACTTGAAAATTACATCAGGTGTGCGTGCGTGAATGTATGTCCAAACATCCAAAATGAGAGAGAACTGGAGAAGAGATTGTAGTGTGATTGTTCAGTGTGAGTGCTTTCTCACTTTCTGTCACTCTCTAATGAGTGCATGTGCCTTCTGGCAAATTAAAATAATAAAAGTACTGGGGACCAGAGGTGGCATGGTGGTTAAGGGTACTGACACTCCCACATGGCCAACCCCAGTTCCAGTGCCAGACGTGGTGGCTTGCTTTCTCGTTTTCTCAGTCCCCGCCCCCCCCAGTCAAATTAAAATAAATGAATAAATAATTATTTTTTAAAATAATAATAATGAAAGTACTAATGTTTCATTATATATTTATGGAACTTCACATTAAGATATCTTTGTTCTGAGACCAGCAGATGGCGTAATGGTTATGTTGATATACTCCCACATAGTTGACTGTGGTTAGAGTCCCAGACCTGGCCCCTTAAAACTCACACTGGGCCCATGTGCCTGTGTGCCCAAAATCCTGAGTGGAGAATGGAGGAGAAGGGATTGTGGTGGGCCATTCCCACTGCGGGATAATTTTTCACTTTCTGTCTCTTTGTCTCTG